CACTGTGGTATTAGTAATTAGTATTGTTTTTTACGAAATAGCCTCTTACTTTGACTTGACTAATATTTTGACCACGAGTGCTATAGAATATGTAAACATTTTACACTTGACATTGGCTAAATGCACAAACCGTGCGAAGCCATATAGAAAAAAAAGGTCAGGCTGACAAGGGTGACAGAGACGGCGCTATACGAAGCCGAAACTAGCCGAGTATCTCTTTCCAAAGCTCGATGCGCCTTATAAATGGCCGGGTACTGTAAAATGTTTCTAATTAGTCGTTCAAGCGGCCAGTAACAGAAAATAAACCCCTAGGTACATGTGTAACACTCATTTTGTATTTAAAAGTAAGATATATTATTTTATGTATTTAATGAAATTTTTATTTAAGTGGCTATATTGCATGCCTTGCATGATCATTAATTATTGAGTGTATATTTTTACGATCATTTGTAAGTACGTTGAAGTTATACTTTATTTATTCATAAGAAGTGTTTCTAATTATATGTAAAATAAATTTTACCCAAATAATAATAAGTAGTTATACTATGCTTCTATGTTTTGCTTTTATTGTAAATGTTTATGTCTAGTGGTTCAAAGGGGGAACGCTGCCAGTATTTTCAGAACCTTGCCTAAAGGGACTCTTTTTAATAATATATTTGAGGTACTATATTTTATTTTTTTACGGTTTTTAGTTCTAGGTTCATTTTTCTAGTATAGGATTTTATTGTGTGTAATTACGTTTACGTGACATTATATCTTTATATTAATTAAATAACAATGTAATGCTTATTGAATCTCCAAATAATATAAAATCCACACAAGACGTCTTTAGTGGTAATAAAAATGTTTATTATTGTAATTTTTGAGGGTTTCTAGTTTCTTTGAAACACAAATTATCGAAAAAGGAAGCCATAGGAGCATAGAATGAGTAACATTATATTTTATGTATAAAAAATATTTCTTTAGTGATAAAAATAAAGGAGGAATCAGGCAATAACGTTTGTATGAGAGCATTGCTTGCCTCCCCTTTTAACCAGTTTTTTTTTTGCCATTTTTTTTTACCCATAATGCCATAATAAAAATTCATTCATAGACATGTAATTATCGCCGTCTTACTTTTTCGTATAGCGCTGTCGCGGATGATGATGTACGATGCGGATGACAAATTGCAACTAAAACAATGCAATTCAATTCATTATTCAATCAATGAAATGCTCTCTGTCTTACTTTTGTGCGGCGGCGGCGGAAGATGGGGCGTAGTAAAAACTACTGTAGAAAACCGTTCAAAGTATTATGTTCGCCAAGTGACGGAGCGCAAAATTCAGCGATAGTACAGGGTTTGTTTGACAGTTGAGGCATAGTGCGATTTCCCGCTCGAATTGGAGCGCCCGTCAGGGTAAGTGACAGTGACAGTAAAATAACTAAATTTTTTGGTGGTGTTGCGTTTCTGTCAGTGAGTAAGATTCCAGAAGTCCCCGGGGTAGGGGATTGGGTCAGGGTAGGCAACGGCTCAGGTGATATTTTTCGTGCCTATGCATGGTGGCTGCTTACCATCAGGCGGGCCATATCCTTGTTTGCGAAATGTTTAACATAAAAAGGGTACATATATTTTTCATCTGCACGTGTGTAACTGAACCTTAAAAAGAAAACAATATACCCTAAACCGATAAACCGCTGATCGATTTCGATGAAAAGACTTCTTTATTATCTTCCAGCAAAACCGACCGGAAAAAGCGCTTTTGTCTAGCAGCAGTAGTCCGTTAGGTATTCTACACAGAGGTTCGAAGAAAAAGTAAAACAAATCATTTTTTGTAGTTTCTTTATTTTTTCACCATTTATCGTAAAACTTTCCTACGGCACACCGCGCGTCGCAGTCGCGCACCAATATTCCGCCTTGTGTATGTCGAGTGCACCTCCCTTCGTTCTACCTCTCTCCCTACCCTCTGTCCTGTCGCTCTCCCCCAGAGCCCCGCGTCACGTCACAGGCTCACTGCACCACACGTCCCAAACCAAGTACTTCCACAACCACCCAACAGATGGTGCTGTAAGTTACACACAATTTGACAAGCAACTCTGCAAGTTTACACAAAACCTCAACAGATGGCAGTACTTGTATGGGACATGTCACGCTCACAAACAACACGCGTTAAAGAAATAATGCATATACAAATTGACAAAATAATTTTCAAGATAGAATAGACCTAAGTATAACAGAGTTCCTTTTGGAAACATAAAAAATAAATAGGCGCAATATTTATACATTTTCTTTTTTATTCTTTTTCTCTGAAGTATACAAACAATATTACAATATGATAATTATCCATCGTAAGTACACACAAGCACCATCTAGCGCAGTCTTACTGCCGTCCCAACCTCTGATATCAACGCCCCGGGCTCAAACCACAAGAATATTGCTTTGCAACTATTCAACAAACGAAGTGTACAGAAGACACGTATCATCATATGAAGCGATTTGAGCTCAGGGTACCCACACATTCCAAAATACATAATTATTATATAAACAACGTGACAGACACTTCAACTAGAGCATTTTATCACGCCATGAGTGTTCACTTCATACAATACATACAAACTTACAAGTGTTAATTTCGATTAAATAATTCGATCTGGAGATCTGTCACTTTTATCAATTTATTTTATTTTTATTATCATCAATACCAACTAGTGTCAAACAATAGAAAAAATAACAAGTAAGTATATAAAATACTAGTATAATAATAAACCTATAGGAAGTAATACATCACACTATTCAATCTTTGGATACAAAATCTCACCGGCGCTCTCGGTTCACAATCCTCTCTGGGGACCAGCTGAGGATTGTAAAGGGAGATCGCCTTCCGAGTCCGCAGCCAGCTCGACCGATCCACCGTATCAGGGCATGTTCCTTGATCGATTCATAATCCAGCTATAGTCCAACAAGGATTTGCCATCGCTGCCATCTTTGTTAATGTCATATTTTGTATGGCATTTACGTAGGCAGTGGCACCCCCCCGAACTGTCACTCACATTCATAAAGAACCTTGTCGCCCTGCACGGGTCTCAGCCGGCGAACTAGCGGCCCCGCTCACACCGTACCAGTCTCAAGAGAAAGCGAGCCGTGTCACACACGAAACGTTCACAAAACATAATACAAAAACACTTTATCCTCATCACATGAGCCACATCAGTCCCACAGTTCCGATATCAAAATTAACAACTATCCCGGTGCATATTGGGTGCATCGGATTCAATCCTAGAATGCATCTGCGGTTAGTTGCACCACCGAAGAGCGCGAGAGTCGCGCGCTATGTGACTCGGACATTTCATTCACTTCGCAAAACCTCAACCCCACCTCTTCATACACAACACCCAATATGCCGTCACCTTACACCTAACAACCACAATTTATATTGCAATCTATTTTTTTTTTACAATTTAGCTTCTGCGGACATTGTCCGCCCTTAATTACATGGCGGCGGCCATCTCGGGTAGCCCGCATTTATAAATATGGCGACTGCCGAGCGAATCGCTGCACGAGATGGCCGCAGCGTCAAGTGCAAACCTATCTAGACAACGCCCTGTCGCTCGGTACACTACAGAACACAGTTTGTATCCATCGTCCTCACCCTAAGGAAAACATTTACATGGCGGCAGGTGGTGCCCAAACATCCATTGGAACTCGCGAACGAAGTCTACTGGCGCTATCTTTCCGAAGTCCTTCAGAACTTCGAGATCGCGAATACCACCACAAGCTGGTATACAGAGAGGTTTGAACAACACCGGCGCACCCCCATATCGATACTATACATAAAATATGAAATATTCAGGACACAATATTTCCGAAATCGTTTTAAATCTACAAATCATTATCCAATATTTTATTATAAACTACAATCGATTGGCAGTATTATTTCACCTTTAGCTCACACTCATGATATTTTATCTCGCGTATCACTCGTGACGTGATCGAGTCCGGTCGGTCACCACTCTACTGAACCGACTTGAGGTCGCGGCCCACCCAACTGGACGCAACGGCCCCCCGCTCACAATCTTCAGAAAACAAATCAACAATGATTACCATCCTAAGTCTTGACGAAGTGCAGTAAAAGAATTTCGGAACCTGTCCATTTCATTAGCCTATGTAAATAAGAGCCGTGCGTCCAGTTCGGCCGGCACTCTTAATGATACAAACGTAAACAGAAGCCAACTCTCACCGCATCTCCTGGACGTTAATACAAAGGATATCCTAATGCAACTCGTACACAAAGAAAGTAACCGTTTGGATGTCGAATGACCCGTCCTTTTCCGCAGCACTGGCTCGCTGATGATGAGCTCGCTGCGTATGGCACATCCTAACATAGAGTCCGCACTCGACTGGCACGGAGGTCGCGCACACGGTTTCGTTGCTTGTCGAACGTCAAACACCCCGGAAAATGTGAATGTATTTGATTGACAGCGCAGGCCAGTCGAGCCCGGGAATCCCCTTTATTCTCATTTGTTCGATTCATTAGTTCGATCGTCGAACTAGTGAGATTTTTTTTTATCATTAGTTCGATCGTCGAACTACTGAGATTTTATTGTTCTCATTTGTTCGACCGTCGTCGAACTTATTTTCTTTATTCATCCATTTTCATTACCAGAACCTCTTAGTTATGTATGGTTTCCTGGTACTTTTTTTTCTAAATAGTGATTTTTATAAATGTTTATGGATGCAATATTGACGACGGTCGAACAAATGAGAACAATAAAATCTCATTAGTTCGACGATCGAACTAATGAGATTTTATTGTTCTCATTTGTTCGACCGTCGTCAATATTGCATCCATAAACATTTATAAAAATCACTATTTAGAAAAAAAAGTACCAGGAAACCATACATAACTAAGAGGTTCTGGTAATGAAAATGGATGAATAAAGAAAATAAGTTCGACGACGGTCGAACAAATGAGAACAATAAAATCTCAGTAGTTCGACGATCGAACTAATGATAAAAAAAAATCTCACTAGTTCGACGATCGAACTAATGAGAAAAAAAAATCTCACTAGTTCGACGATCGAACTAATGAATCGAACAAATGAGAATAAAGGGGGAATCCTTATACTAATCCTAACACCTCGCTTATGATCCCTTCAACCGTTTACCTAAGTTACCGCGCACCCTACAAACAGTGGGGAGCTGAGAAACAAGTGTCTCTCCTCGCGTGTTACGTCTACCACCGAAATCGGCACCTCCCGATGTGACAATCGGTTACTGAAAGTTAATACCAGCACTCTCCCAAGCGAATAGATCTTATCATTATATTTATTCGAAATACAGTCCAATCAGCCTGCCCGTATTTACAACCACGAGAACACGGGAAACACTACCCCGTCAAACTTAATTATTAAATGGCGCGTTATGAAGCAATGACATTTGAAAGGCAAATACGTTTCCGGTGTCCCCTGTGCCCAGTACAATGTACCGTTGAGAACTAACGTACACAAGAGTAATTAAATCAATCGACGTCTAAACTCAAGCTGAACGAGAAGTCTCGTGCTGACAAGGACCGCATGCGTCTCTCAATCTTTATTCCCATTGCCCCCGTGGGAATTGCCAACCACTAGTTTTTTATTTCCATTTACCTGTTCCCATTTGCCTCCGGTGGCAATCCTCGCTGGGGCAATGGGAATGAAGGTCTCACATTCAGCGGCCGGTGTACACACGAGAGTCGCACTCTAAACTCAAACCCTGTCCTGTTTCTGTATCTGCTCGTCGAACACCGCCTGTTATCATATTTCTGTATCCAATCAATATTTTCCGAACTATTACATTTTTATAATATTATTTCCTTTTTTTTTCATCAATTTCAGGTACTGTGGTATTGCTTATATGTAATATAATATTTTCCATGGTTATTATAATATTGTGGCGGATCAATTATAACTAATACTCGGCCACTTTGCGTGCACTCAATTAGGGAATGTTGGAAACCAGAACCTTTAGATGTTAGAGCGATTGAAAATCAAGCCATACCTCGCTGAGAAAACTGCGCGACTTGGTTTGAATTTGAAACGTTTCACTATCACATTTAAGGTTCTTCAAAAAATCTATTCCTTAAATACGGAGTTTTTATTTCATAATACAAACATTATAATTTCCCAACTGTTAGATGTTTTCCAAGAAATCAAAGTGCTAAATAGATTATTTCCGGACGTAAGAAATAGGTCCTTTGGTCTCAATAGAGGCACGTGGCCGAGTGGCCGGCGCGTACGATACAACAGCAGCGGATGGAGGAACTTTAGATGACGACTGACGAGATCGTCTGCAGGTAAAGGTAGCGGCAAACATCTCCAGTTAAACCGTACACAAACAAACTTGCGCAGTACACGTTTTTGTAAGTAAAATTGCTACTATAGTGCGACGAGGATCATTTAAAATGTGGCGAAAATTGGAACTAAACACGCCGTCTTTATGAACGTCACATTTTGTATGTCATTTACGTAGATAGGGGCGCCCTCCCTGAACTGTCACTCACATTTATAAAGATCCTTGTCGCACTGTACACATTTTTGTAAGTAAAATTGCTACAACGCAGGCTTCGTTGTGTATGGTTTATGATGTTGTCCGGGGTGAAGAAGGCTTGGCACGGTCGCTGCGACACCGGCGCCCGCGCACCCACGCGACATCAAACGTAACGCACAGATAAATTATCTTTTAGCAAAACATCAATTAATATCAGAAATATAATTAAAACTAACGTACTATAGTATAACTCTTGATTATTATTTTTATTTTATTTTTTTCACAGTTTTGTATTTCATCCATAACTAAATGCCCTATTTAATGTATGTATAACACTTATAGGGAGGGCGGCGCGGGGGCACTGCCGCTGCCACGCTCTGTTCTCAAACTTTGTAACGATGGACCTTTGCAATGTTTTCATTTTATTTGACTTTTAAATATACTAAGAAGTCGTCAATATAATTACAAGATGGAGTAGATTTCAAAAGTAAAAGTAGGCAATTCAAGAAATTTCAAGTCCGTACAGGATTTATTTATCCAAAATCTATTTTTAATCACTGAATGGCGAAAGAAATCATACTTATTCATTGCATTTTGTTAAATTAGATGTTCTACATGACTTTGTAAGAAAGCTTTAAAGTCTTCGAGTCCAAAGTTACATATACCCTAAGGTTCACACTTTATATAGCTCGCCACACGTAGGTTGTTTACAAGCTGTCATTGACAAGTGTGGCGGCGGCGTGCGGCGATAATATAATGATTACGATAATTGACTATCTGACACTTCAGACTGCACGCGAACTGGTAAAACAACGCGACCACGACGCAAACTAACAAACGCGATGCGGACACACGCTCAGGAATGGAAATGGATTACATATTTCATCTCCCCAAACAAAGATTCAGATATAGTTCACTTTTGAAAGAAAGAAATGTTTTCTTCATCAATAAGAGCAGGATGCTGCTAGATTTAAAATTCTTCAAAATTCGGACAAATTCAGGAAAAACGTAAAAAAAAACACCGAGTGACGAGCGTGTGCCGAAAGGAGAACATAAAAATGAGATGATCAAAAACGTGAAACCTAATTAAATCGATCGAATTATTTAATCGAACGATTTTTTTAAAATAAAGTGTTCCTTTGTAGGAAAGGGATGACGTTTAGTTCCGTTCGTGTTTGGGTTAGGGCGCGGGGAGGGGCGGGGGGCGCCGCGCTTGTATCACAGGGCAGCACTCGAGCCGCTACCGACACATGCGAATATCCACGAAAACAATAAGGAAAACAAACATTCTATAATGACTTACGTAAACTACATACTTTACTCAACGGGAGAAACTAACATTGGCGCCCTAACAGTAACTATTTTCATGTATTCTAAGATTATCAAAAAACTGCCGGCTCGACACGACAAAATCAAAATCCTTTCAAAATTAACACCCACGGACCGTGCACTGCTGTCTACGCCGACTAAAATACCCACGCATTATCTAGCATTATGACGTATAACACACTATTCAATATAATCGCGATTGCGTGATCGCGATGGATATAATTCGTATTTCTAAATATAACATCTGTAGCTCTTAATTGTATCTATGGAACTAAAATTACTTTTTGTACCATAAAATTGTTGTTAAAATTAAGCCACATGTCGCGGGGAGGCACAAGTTACAACCTTTCGTTAACAGTATACGGGTGGAATCGGTGTGTTTAGGAAATTGATACTATCAAAGGATTTTATTAGGTATGTGAATCCATAGCCTCAAGTAGTATTCGAGCATTGTTTTTTCGGTATAATTATGAATTTGTGCGCCTCCTCGCGAGCCTCAACAGTCGATACGGAACACGGACTAGGCGCGCGACGACCCCTCACGTCACCGAGGAACCCAAGCTATCGAAAAACTACCCTAAACTTACGAAATAGAACGAATGAACCGCGCCGCCCTCGGTCTAATATAACTTCTATTTATTTTTACTCGTAATAGAAAGAGATTTTTTTTATTGTATTTTAAATAGTATTACTTTTTTTCTTTCATCTATAATGTAACTCTTTAACGGACGTATGCCGACTTATGTCACGCTATGCAAAATGGTCTGAGGAAAATGTACTGTAAATCAACTTACTTTAGGACCGGTTTAGACTGCACCCGTCTACAGGAGAGGCGCTAGATTGTCTTTATAGGTGGCAATCTAAAACGTCGCACTATTTCTATGTTCCATAAGGGTGATTATAAACTATTTTACAGATACTGCGTTTGCACGACCCCCGCAGTTTGGACGCGTTCAATGTAGGCGCAGTGGGTGATAAGAATTTGATAAAACTCAAAAAAAGAGTTCCCACAAAATCAGTTATAAAATAACTTTAGTTTCCACAAAGGAAAAAGATGTCCTGCGCCATCCATTGGCCACCAATCTGCAGATAAGTCGTCAATATTCGTCCGCATCGGAACGCACGCCCTGCAACAATCTACGTCGATTTGACGTACGATGACGAGCGGATGTAAATCTAAATTTAACATTAACAGTAGGTAGTAGAGTTCACAATCGCGAAGCGGGCTTACTTCACTGCTGACTCGACCTGACGCTGAGTAAGCGAAACTTTTTATATTCGAACTGCGCACAGTTTTAGGTCGAATTGTCGACGAGTGAAAGAGACAAAACCTCGCAACTAACCGAAACATTTAACTTATATCACCACAGCTCTTAACGAAATTAAGAAAAACGATATACTTAGAAATCAAGTGTTGCATTATATAAAAAAGATGTCTTTACAATTGTTATTTAAAAGAAACATAGGGGCAATAACTACGCAGGCACTTATAAAGCGCTAAGCAAGAAGATGTTATGTACAACAGTCATGTGATAACAACGTGTAACGTAAAAAGTTTAAAGATATGATTCTCCCATCACATTCTCATGCATAGGTTCTGGTCAAAGTAACGTATAACAAAGCTATTATAACACATTAAACTATCGTCAGATGCTTGTTTATAAAAACCGTAGTCTAATCAGATACAGACAGGTCGCAACTTGTCTTAAAGAATTTGTCTTTTAATATATTTTTTTTATACTGAGCGCCTGTATTGCTTAGTAATAAGAGCTCGATTTGTAATGCACTTGAATGTAGTCAAATTGCTAATTAGCGAAAGAAAGTTGAATGTTTTAAAGCATCAAATTCATCGTAAAGCATTGACCTATCTGCATCGAGACAGCGTATTGCGTCACAATCACAAAGCGATATCATATAACGTATATAAATGTAAAAGCAAACAACTAAAAACAAACCATGTTGAAAGCAGACATTTTGAAAACGAATATGGAACCAATACAATATTGGTTTAGTTTCTGTATTCCTTAAAAATGCGGTAATTAGGATCCCAGATAGCAACTGAAATCTTTATTGAATAAAAAATAACCGCTAAGTGACCACGACGACGCCCGGAAGCTACAAATAAAAGGTGAAAACATCTCCAGGGTGATTGTAGCCACGGTTACTATTATTAACGGAAAAAAAACTGAATATTAATATAGAAACGGGTAAAAATGCATGAATACAAAAGTAGGCACGTACGAACCGTACTAGGTGCAAGATACTGCTTCACACAAACACACGCACACACGCACAAGTAATATATTATATATATACATACGCACTTACACGCGCGCTCAGGGGAGATGCTGCCATGTGTACATATTCAATATAAAGTGTTAAGCTTAATGATCTTAAGCCGGTAAGTGAAATAAATGTATAAAGTGAAACGCACTTCTGATTATTGAAATCATTCAAAAAGGCAAAATTTCGTTGTTCAGAAAGAGTTGCAGCTAAAAACTGCACGATTTCATACGAATAGAACGATTTTAGACTCTCTTATTAGCGATATAGAAGTGAATTTTGCTTGTTTTCGATGTACTCGCGAAAAGCATCTCCCCTAAGCGCATCACACAGGGTGCTTACGACCAAACTTAACCTACTCTCCGGAGCGGGCCGCCGCCCCCACCCCTATCTACCCTCCTATCTGCTAACCCTTTTTTTACCTTCCTCTCCTACCAAACTTCTCCCGACCTTTACTTATCTCTCCTACCTTCGCTACTTTTCCTATGTTCCCTTCTTCTATCTTGGGAGAGGAGATTACGGTATGAGTACCATAATCTCTTTTCCTTTTTAACTCAAGGCGGATACAACGCAGATATCTGACCATCTCCCTCACTTCAAGTCACCGTACATAATATTTGTTTTTAAGTACCATTTGGTAACTACCTATAAGCGCTCTGACGTATAAGTCTAATTTGATTTCACAAATCAATATTAGCCTTTCGAGTGAATTATGTAAGAGTAAAACATGTCTCGTGACTCGACCGCGATCATATCCGGAATCATCTGCTGGCAGTGTCGAAATAATTTATAAAATACATAGAAATTTTTACCTAAACGATTTATTGAGTCGCACTCGGATGTTCTTTTTTTTTATTAAGTTTTCATCATCATACATATCACAAAAAAGGTTTGAGTTTCACTCAACGTGTCGCGTCGACGTTTAAAACTTCAACGCGTATCGTATATAGAACCAACTCAGATACAATATGTTATATAAAACCTATCATCTAATTTCATCTATAAAAAATGCATAGACGTACCTAACATCTACGAATACCATGATAGTTAATAAATGTCCTATGCACGTATCGGAACGAGAATAATTTTGAAATAACCCTGCCGATTTGAATATTATAAGGCGGCGGCCACTTGCGTCGCATACTATACCTTCTCGACGCGGACGTATTGTACGCATAGAGAATATCACAGCAGTGCGGCACTCACCTAGTGATTTCAATAACGCCAGTTTATCTCGACCCCTTGCTACGTGCATGCAGCAGGTTATCGAGGGTCAAGCTAAATTGGTCCTATTACGCGCCCTGTAAACACCCGGTGCCTATTCTATAGGAGAAATGTTTATGCGGCGCCAACACAACACCGAAGAACAGCACTTAATGTCTTGATATGAGAGCATACTTTACAATAGCAACGTTTTACCAAACAAAACTTTAACATATGCGTTTCACCGCACAAGCAGCCCTCCCATCACACATCTGTGCCTGTTGTTTGCATCTTAGTATAGACAAAAAAAAACTATAATTAAATAATCCATGTTAAAAACACATACACCTACGAACTAGATAAGTGGCATTTTATATTTAACAGATTTTTTTTCTTGTTTTTATTATGTTCTTACAAGTTTATCGTGTCAGACATGTCAGTAGCCAAATAAACGCCGGTAGTGACGCACATGCACTGACGCCCTAATATCATAAAACTTAACATAAATATATGACTTCAGAACTGGAATTACGACTCCGTCCATCGCCGTCACTTCATAATTCCGGTCATGTGCCGAGTGCCAACTATTTACACGTAGTAGACAAAATAATTATAATAATAATAAAAAACGATAATATAAAAAAATAAAGCTCAAAGCCTAAAGTTAGTTTTAGTTTCAGAGAAAACGAACGGCCCTCGAAGGGCCACGGTCCAACTAATAATTTAGATTAAAAGGCATACATGTGAATATTGTAAGAATCAACGCTAAGCTGAAAATGTTGCCCGATCGTAAAACGAAGTGGCCACCACGAAACTCGGCATATCGCCGAACTTAACTGGCAACACCGTTCGACCGCACAGACGCCAACGTAACAAACGCAACCCTACCACGCTAGTACAATGATCAACAACAAATAAAGAGCAACATTAGTACCATCGGACGAAACGCCCTCTCGGAAAATAAACGACGAAGCTCAAACATGTTATCACATCACCTTACAACTAGTTCGGGAACCGCGGCTACCGACCCGTTGTCACCAAAGTGTTGCTAGTAAAAAAAAACACAATTTGGCATCGTGTGTTGCCATGAAAAATAAAAGACCTAAATAATTTCATCCATATTTCCGATTTAAAGCTTTTGGGGAACAATACGAATATTAAAATATAAGAAGAAAAAAAAATTTTACTGACGACAATGCCAAAATGTTTACAATAGCTGCCAAAACATCAGAACAATCCAGAATGATGTAAGTTTTTAACTAAAACTCATTTGGAGACATTACAATACATTCTGAACCGTACTGCACAAATATTAAAGTTGAACTTTAAATAAACATTGAGTTACAGTCATACGATATTACTTAAGCTACACATTCGTTCGTACCGAGAACTATTTAACTATGTTTCTAAAACACTATTGTTAAACTGTTTATGACGAAACTCCTACGAGTAGTTCTCGTTGAAGTTACCAAAAACATTTTCGTTTCATTCGACTGCAATAACTTAATCGGAATATTACATACTTTAACAAAATAATATCATAATACTTAGTACATTTTGAAGAATCATATAATAGTTTAGTAATATAACGCACCATAACTGCTAAGAGACAAAATAAATTTCTTCTTGTGCAAAGAAGAATAGACACAGGTTGAGAATTTTCGATTTTTTTTTATATCATGTTTGTAATATTTCGATAAAGATATACGAAAACTAAAATAATTGTTTTGTCTACAAACATAAACATTGGTGTAGCGGTCGGTAGCGCGGCGATACATAGACTACTAAATACATATATTATGTATATATAGATATATATTATATATATGTGAATGTATAATATATACGTATATAAAATACTATATACAGGTGGTCGGGCCGCGCGCGGCTCAGTGCGGCCGCTCGCATCAAATGCGGCCAGCGCCGCCGCCCGATAATGAGTCCTATGACAACACAAATAAACTCGTTATTCCCTCGTCAAGTGTATTCAAAATTGAAAAGGCAGTCAAAGTTCCTTTTTTTTCATACGATACTACCCAATCTTGTACCTCAAATGTTATTATGCATTTATGTGTAGAAATAAACGCAGAATTTATTAAAAATATAAACGGATACACATAATATGTTATGGCCAATGCGCATCTTCAAATTAATTTAAATAAGCTACGAAAATCATAACAAACCAGGAGGTCTACTCAATTTCAACGAAAAACGAAATTTCGATCGAAAGTTCGTCCGAAAATAGTTTGACAATTAAATTCTCCAAATTACTAAATTAATTCACAAAACTTTCGAAGGAAAAGTTGAATTTGACAGATAATTGTTCGAAATTTTAACCTCAAATTGACGAAATGAACTTTCGTTTTGAGATTTTTGTTTTAATTAAGCCTTAAATGCATGCAAGAGTATTTTTAATCAAGGCTGCTTAGCTCGAGGAACTTTAGCATGTAAAATTAACAAAAAAAAACATCTTTTTATTATTTATTGTAAATTCCAATACTTCAAAATATCAAACGACAAATTTAGGTTGACATAAAATAGATTGTATCAACTCTACAAATTAGTCAGCTAACACTGTCAAACAAGGTTCTTTCAATGTCATCAAAAATTTTCGGAGAAAGAGAGTAAAGCTCCTGATCGGTAAAAGCTTGACTATAACAAAATATTATATTGCAAGCCCATCAAAAACAAATAAAATAACTGTGAGGATTGGACGCAGCCTTTTAGCGTACCAACGCGATTAAATCTCACTGTTAGATCCATAGGTACAATGTAAACAAAAGTGTCACGTGACTAAAACAACAAATACAACCAATCATAGTGAAGGAAATTTAAACCTATTGGTTTAAATTCGAATTTAATAGTATTTGCAACTATCTGTCAGTCGGACACGAACAACGTCTCTTTATACGCAGATTTCTTTTTTCAATATATTTGAATTAAGGTTTTCATTGAATTAAGTTTGATGAGCGATATTTGTTTCTTAGGTTTTCACGCACATCACTCATTAAATAAAACTAGTTTTTACGGGTTAATGCACGAAACTTTATTTATTTATTGACGTTTCGCAGCCTTTTCAGGTCTGCATCGTCAGAATAATGATTTTTTATTTAAAATTGTCGAGCTACCTTCGAAAGACTTACATTGAGCGTTCGGTTATTTCATTGGAAGATTTTTAAAATTTTATTGTCTATGTATGAATTTATTATTTAATTTACTTAATAAAGTATTTTATTTAAAATTCTTGTTTGTAATTTTGAGTTTATTTATTTGACCCTAACTACCGTAATCTACCACCGGTTCCAAAATTGGGAGACCTTCCTGAGAAGAACCGGCGAAACAAACTCAAGAGAGGCTTTCTATCTCCTTCTTATGTTAAATTATGCAAACAAAAAGAACTAATAGTATCTGATGGTCTTGCAGTGTGTGCTCGGGGTTGGGATTTTATCTCCTGTATAATAGGTTCCCAAGCAATATACCAACCATCTTCCCTATTGAAATTTGGATATTTTTTAATCTCAATAGCCTCGCGCATCATTCGAGGAACGAACCGCCGCTCAGCTGCAAGGATCTGTGGTCTATCAAATCTAATGTAGTGGTTTGGTCCCCCTAATGCATGTTCATCATTCAATTTGATGAGCGAGTCTTTTTAAGTATAATTTTTGATGTTCTAGGTAAAAATTGGGCAGAAATCGAATGTCCCCTTTATGGTCTTCCCCGTGACTGTGTACAATGGAAAAAGGGAAGTAAATATACTTACTATGTCAGAACGAGGGGGCTGCGAACTGGGACCGCCACCTCCCTACAATATAAAATAATAATTTAATTTATCTAAAGAAAATTTTACTAGAAAAAATTCCACGCGGACCAGCAGCAGAAGGGACGCGAACCCACACCCTTCGCTATCCGGGCGAATGCACTGACCATTACGCTACCGCGGCCTGAGGGCCGTGTCGAATCTTCCAATAGCCTTTGTTAAGCTGCAAGACTACAAGCCTGGTCCGCGTGGATTTTTTTCTAGTAAATTTCTCTTTAGATTTAAACGTTAGCAGTTAAATGCATACAAAATAAAAAAGATAAAAATAATTTATGTAACACACAAACGTTTAAATGCCTATTTATTTATCATGTATTTAGACATTGATGTGCAACTGTAGAATAATATAAAAATGAATATAAGAAGATGATTGGCTCAAGCACGCACTTTGACAGCTTCGAAATCGTTAACACATCGTCAAAGTTTCTATGAAAACAGAGCAGCGCCATCATCGGACATAACAACAAACTGGCTCCTTCCATACAATATTTGACGATGACGATACGATTACGGATTTGTCATAATTCCTGCTTGGGCCTCAGTTTATTTTATTCATAAGAGTTGTTGCCATCACTGAGCAGAACCACGAGAAATTACTACGGTACCATAGACAATAGATGAAGTACTCTCTAACCAACAGGTAAGCAAAACTGGGAAGATAAGTATATATATGGTATGTATGTGTGTGTGTGTGTGTGTATGTAGGGATGTTTGTATAATAATTATTATTCAATTGATTAGGTACATTATGAATTTTAGATAATAACTATTTTTTCAATTTTATAGCATTGTCTTTAAGTTCTCTGCTGCGTAAAATTTTTGTGCCTCAAAGATTAAATTACTAAGTAAATAAGTGTCGTGATCGTTTCGTCAGTCGGGCTGCCCATAGTTCGTTTATGTAATAAATATATCTTCTCTTTTAGAGATTTGCTAATTTCATACCGCATGGTGTTCATGATGGTGGGCTCGCATCATCTTGTTGCAGTAGTCGGAGAGCGTGTCCCTGAACCGATCCATGTGGTAATGTAGTGTAGTGAGTGTAGTGTAGTAGTAGTGTAATGAGTGTAGTGTAGTGGCAGTGCAGTGTAGTGATAGTGTAGTGTAGTGAGTGTAGTAGTAGTGTAATGAGTGTAGTGTAGTGGCAGTGCAGTGTAGTGAGTGTAGTGAATGTGTAGTGTAGTGAGTGTAGTGTAATGAGTGTAGTGTAGTGGCAGTGCAGTGTAGTGAGTGTAGTGATAGTGTAGTGTAGTGAGTGTAGTAGTAGTGTAATGAGTGTAGTGTAGTGGCAGTGCAGTGTAGTGAGTGTAGTGATAGTGTAGTGTAGTGAGTGTAGTAGTAGTGTAATGAGTGTAGTGTAGTGGCAGTGAAGTGTAGTGAGTGTAGTGAATGTGTAGTGTAGTGAGTGTAGTGTAGTAGTAGTGTAATGAGTGTAGTGTAGTGGCAGTGCAGTGTAGTGAGTGTAGTGAATGTGTAGTGTAGTGAGTGTAGTGTAGTAGTAGTGTAATGAGTGTAGTGTAGTGGCAGTGCAGTGTAGTGAGTGTAGTGATAGTGTAGTGTAGTGAGTGTAGTAGTAGTGTAATGAGTGTAGTGTAGTGGCAGTGCAGTGTAGTGAGTGTAGTGAATGTGTAGTGTAGTGAGTGTAGTGTAATGAGTGTAGTGTAGTGGCAGTGCAGTGTAGTGAGTGTAGTGAATGTGTAGTGTAGTGAGTGTAGTGTAGTAGTAGTGTAATGAGTGTAGTGTAGTGGCAGTGCAGTGTAGCGAGTGTAGTGATAGTGTAGTGTAGTGGCGGTACTGACCGCATGGTGCTCGTGGTGGTGCGCCCGCATCATCTTGTCGCAGTAGTCGGCGAGGATGTCCCGGAACCGCGTCCAGCACTTCTCAGGCACCGTGATCGCAGTGCGGAAGTTGCTCTTTACCTGGTTTGAAGACAGATTTGTGAACAAATATGCTACATGAAGCAGGAAACGTACACTAAAATCACGTAAATATACGTTCATATAACAAATACTTCATTCCCTCTCTAAAACATGATTTAAAAAAGTTTGAATGCTACATTCGCGAGATTCCTTCACAAAGATTTTGTATACTTATGTCAAAAAAAGAATTGTAAAGTTAAGTATCAAATATTTGGAAAAAGTTAAATATTTGGAAAGTATCTAAACATTTTTTTATAAAATAAAATATTATGTCCGCGGCACAGAAACGTTATGATAAAAGCGCACTTAAATCTGCAATGTTTTATTTAAAAATTATACCACCTGGAACCAGCACCATTATGAAGTAATAAAAATATAAAAACCAGGTTGATAAATACTTAAATAAAAAAAATATTAAGTTGTAGCTTTAACCCGGTTAATTATGTTAAATAAATACTAAAAACATTGATGGTTTCCCTGAATTTATTAAATGATTTATTAAAACGATTGTGTGCACATATTGTACCATAAACAATTAAAATACTAAAATACGTCCAACGAGAAGTGATACAAAATGCGAAAGGATAAGACCTTGCAGATATTGGCAACATTTATGAAAATAACATAATATTTATAAAACACTTAATAACAAATTAATTACTACATTCAAAACTTAACAACAATACAATATCAACCAAAAATAATAATAATTCTATTATCAAAACCGAAATTGAAAACTGTTCAAAAAACAAAAAAATAATAGTTATTACCACGAGTAGTATCGGAGAAATACTAAACAAAGGAAATGAAAATGTCATTATTTTTTACTATAAAATGGCCATCCGAATGTGACCTAATGTCATATAAATGAGATGAAAGAGATTGTTATTAAACTGTCATTCCCATAGTCTCGTACAAGGTCAATGAACTTTTGTATCGCTTCTTGTTGGCCGTACTTTATGTAATTAATGCGAGTTGTAATAAATATAAAGGATATATGATCAAAACAACTTATAACATTATAATGTTAAGATTAAGTTATAATGTTAAATCTTATAAGATTTCAATTCATATAACTAATGCATAGAGTGATTTCTCAATCCTTGCAATAAAACTTATGTGTCAAATAAGTTATTAGTCAATCAAAATAAATACCATCCGCAAAAAAATAAAAAATATTATAAGTACATATTAAAAATTATGATTTCAAAAGCTGTCTTTTTACTCGCAATTAAAAGAGTGCACGATTGAACGCGGAAAAGGTCGTTTTAAAACATGCATTCTCTTTCTTCATTTCTATCTATTAATAATATTGTCGCTGGAAATTTTCGGATGAAAGACTCTCCACGCAAGAAACAGAGTACGTTTATTAGTATCATACGAATATTTTTTTAAGGAATTGATAGAAATTAGTTAAAATACCAGTATACTAATAGTTGAGCCCGAGTTAAATATAATAAACAACGTTTTTACATAGAGCATGCATAAATGTTATATTCAAACGCTACACAAACTAATTTCCGAGTTCGTTGTTACAATACCACAAAGTAATTATGCAATTTCAAAATCAATGTACCGACGCTACATTGTTCAACTGGTCAATTCCATATCGGTGTCTACGATAATATACGACATTAACAATGACCTTATTGCGAAACAAATAAGAGCTATATTATAGTCATTATCGCGAACTCATCACATGGGCTGTGAATAGTTTGAATTCTTTGCATCTATTATTTTTACTTGTGGTGTTGTAATAAGACGCAGGGGTTTCTCTTTTCAAAGGACTATTTTTCATCTAAATCAGTCAAATCATTATTACGGTTAATTATCTAAGCAATCAGCATGAATAGAGTGCCATTAACATATGTATATCTTAAGTTAATAAGTCAATTAAACAAACTTTAAAAAGATAGGCGAATTTGAACCTTAAACGTTACAGTAACCTTATAAGCAAATTCTGAACAGACGCGAATTTCAACATTAATAGTTAATGAGGGCTACCGTTTTCTGTCTCGCCAAATGGCGCCACTGTTGAGTGAGGTCCTAAATTGTAACTTTTAAAGTTTATTAATACGCACATGAAATCAAAGGTTACATTTAGATCGTATTTTAACACATAAAGACCATATCCTAAACATAATAGGCCATGCCACAGTGACGCGCAGTTCCGTTTTATTCGGAAAAAATGGGAACATAATCATTTTTCTAAGCTCAAATTTTTAATAACTGACATTCATTGCCACATAACTCATATTTGCCATAATTAAGCCGAATTGTTACCAATTATTCATAACATTATTTTAATAAGAAATAAACCCGCGTAGTCAACCAACAAGCAATAACATTTGACATTTCGGAGACCTCACGCTACACTAGCGCCTCTAGCGGCGGATTCATACGCGATAGCCCTCATTACAGACACACTAGCGCCTCTAGCGGCGGATTCATACGCGATAGCCCTCATTACAGACACACTAGCGCCTCTAGCGGCGGATTCATACGCGATAGCCCTCATTACAGAGTAGTCCTTTCAAAAGTGCCACCCCCACGGTCGAACCGTCAACTCAACAGTTAGATTGATTGTGCTACAATTACTTGTAACGATGTTACCACCTCGCTGACTTTCATGTAGATGCCGCGGTTGTTCTGGCCGATGTCAAAGTAGAAGTTTTTGTTGTCCACGCGCAGGTGGCGCCCCTCAGGCAGTTCCCCCTTGAAACTGAAGGTGGTACACTTTAGTTTTCATAAACAGGGCCCATTATAATGCTCCAAGTCACTGTTGCATAGTGTCAATAATAATAATTACAGTGTTATTAAACTTAAGGGTTTTTAACCCAATTTCGGGGGAAGTTATGTGAGCTGGAGATTTGTTTATAATAGTGATTTACAGGGGCTAAATTGTAAGAGGTATTTTAGGGGTTAAGTGTATTCATGCCTAGTTTTTTTTATTGAAATAACATTTAACGATACTAGAAGTACTCCCCGAACCTTTTTATGGTAGGTAATATTGAGTCTACAGTGTTTTTGCTAGGTAACACTGGATTTAAGGGATTTTACTTTTCGGTTAATTATTTTAGGGAGTCGATAACACTGGCTGATTTTAGCTGGTGCAAAAATTATGCGGGTCCAGCTTGGAAAGTGTTAATTTGAAACTGTTAACCCTCCGAACCCAACTTCACTAGATATTATAGATTGACCGACAAAACGTCAGATCCCATCATTCTGATTCTGTTTTACTGCAAATGAGTAGAGATCGCCAGAGCTCCACAAACTAGCTGATTTTGTGTAAGGAACCTGCGAGCGGTACTCTGGTATAGTACGCGTCCATAGGTTGTGACAAGCACGTTTTATCAATTAAAAGGATTGGAGAAGTGTCTGGATGTTGAAGAGTGTTTTATCATACATTGCCACCGGTCATCCCTGCATCAGATCACAATAAATAAACCAGCCCCCCTAACATGAGGACCTCAATATGATATGTAACGCGCTTTTATGACGACCTCCGTGGCCGAGTGGTTTGTACGCCGGGTTTCATGGTGTCGCCGACTCGAGAGGTCGAATCCCGGTGGGGGCAAATGTTTGTGTGATGAATACGAGCATTTCTTCTCCAGTCATGGATGTTTAATATGTATTTCTATATAAATATACTTATATATGTATTCTATCCGTTACCCTAGCATCCCATAACACAAACCTTACAGTGCTTACTTTGGGGCTAGGCTAATTGGTGTGAGTGTTGGAAATATTTATATTTATCAAACTCAAGTGTCAAATTACTATGGAGTTTGATAGTTAGACGCGATATAAAACGTGATATAATGTAAATTATAGTGCTCATGCTACGGGGGCTGCAATCGTCACTTACCTGCTTACCGATTATAGTGATTTTTCAAAGTCGTCCTACTAAAATTGTTCGTACGAATGTTAGAACATTATGTCTAATATTCTAACATTTGTACGAACGATTTTTTTATGTGTCGATAAAAAAGTGGTTAAGACCAAATTACACCAGACTTAGTCAAATCATTGGTTAGCTAACGGTTCTTTAAAACTAACCATGGTGTTAAATTAATTTACGTCCTAAATTAAAAATGTAACATCCCCATTGCTAAATCAACCATCAAGCGAATGACTTGAAAATCATACGCTCGTAAATAGTACTGTATCAATGTTCATTGTGACGTAGTTTGACATTTATAAATCTTCTGTTAATCGTGACCTGTGATTAAGTTTAACACCGCACATCAAGGAGGAAAATCCTCTGTTAAAAGTTTGATGGAACACGAAAAACATTAATAGTCCTTTAACGGACCTGACCAGCTGTAAGATGAATAACAATGGTTGGTGAAATTTGGTCTTAATGTAACCACCACAAAGTCCCTATAATATAAAACAGTTCATACACTTTTGTGTATAACACAAACGGTAATTCCAAAAAAATAATGTTACTACTAACATAGTGGGCATCGCAGATAGATAAAAAATCATAGCATTATAAATATAACCAATTTTAGCAAAAACAACTCAGTTGATCGTAGTAACCTTCATAATATGTAATAAAATGGTATTTTTAAGCTGTATAATGTAATCCAAAATTCTACATATAGCATACTTATATAATGGCGTAGATGAGACAAAAATATTACGTTATAAAACGAGCGTTATAAAATTTTATGACAATACTTATGACAACAATCATTGCTGTTTTCCGTAATATCATTTGGTTAGAAAGTAGCGAAAGCAAGCAATGTATGATAAAACATCTATCGGATTTAATGTAGGGAAAATAAATACATTATAAACCTGTAGAGTTGAAAGAATATTATATGAGATAATTTTTTTTTTTGTTAGATTACACAATCATTATGTTTTCAAGTCGAAAATTTCCCCGTCCTATTTGCACCAACGGTGCATACTGAAGTGTATGAAACAGGATAACATGAGTTGTCCTTCATAAAATACACTATATCCAAATCTTTTCTATAAAATTGAGGAGCAGTAATTTAAACATTCAAAATTTTCAGTTCTGTCTGACATTTACCAATTAAATTTTTCCTCAATAAAATAGGAAAGAAAGATAAGTGGTTGATTTGTGTCATTTGTTCAGAAAACCCATGGATAGCCGCCAAAGAAGTGTTTTTATATAATAACTAATTCCGAGTGCAACCGGAGGAATGAGCTTACTCACCTAACGTATTCAGGTTTCCTAGATAGCAGGAATGTCAAAACGGATCACGATATAATAGCTATATACCTTGCGTACACCAATAGGGTATTTGACAGTGTTAAAAATAAAGTGCCTTTTGTTAGCATCTGTGTTTAGAATGAATATTGGCAGGGGTTTTTACTATTTTTACAGAAAAAATATTCATAATTTTACTAAAAACTAACGTAAAAGATAATAGTTTTCTTATCTATTGTCACGTGACCAAAACGCTTGGGATTGGCGGAGCCTAAAATGACGTCACACGCAAGTAAACTTCGGTTTAAAGTGACATTACATTGTATCGTTTGACGTTTTAATATCAGTAGTGTGACGTCACATACTAGTAAGACGCCATATTGTCCAGAGAAACGTTTTCGCGGCAACTTGAAAATGGAGTTTTTGATTTGGTTATTTTTACTGAAATACACAACAGAATGATGAATATCCACTTTTTACGGACTCCATAAACATTAGTCAATAACGTGAGATCGTTTTCTAAAACTTGTCAAATACCCTATTCAAATAAACATCTTATTACAAATGCCATAGGGTCGTTTTTTATGGAACAAATCTAGAGGAAAACGGGAACCTAAATTGAATCTAGACTCAAATTCTAAGAAAGGCGATGAGTTAATATAATTCTGAAGTCCACGGTTCTTAACTAGGTCGTTTTTTATGGAACAAATCTAGAGGAAAACGGGAACCTAAATTGAATCTAGACTCAAATTCTAAGAAAGGCGATGAGTTAATATAATTCTGAAGTCCACGGTTCTTAACTAGGTCGTTTTTTATGGAACAAATCTAGAGGAAAACGGGAACCTAAATTGAATCTAGACTCAAATTCTAAGAAAGGCAATGAGTTAATATAATTCTGAAGTCCACGGTTCTTAACTAGGTCGTTTTTTATGGAACAAATCTAGAGGAAAACGGGAACCTAAATTGAATCTAGACTCAAATTCTAAGAAAGGCGATGAGTTAATATAATTCTGAAGTCCACGGTTCTTAACTAGGTCTTAAGTAGACATGCGTAATATAGCATCATTGATTCAAGAATCACACAATATTATAAAGGTGAAAGTTTGTGAGTGCGTGAGTGTGTATGTTTGTTACTTCTTCACGTCTAAACGGCTGGAGCGACTTTAATAAAATTTCAAGACGGGGCACAGTTAATCAGTAATCATTTTGATGATTTACGAATTCTAAGTAAACTAACATCGAATTCATATCGTTTGCGAGTAAGAAATGTCTTTGTCAAATGTGTACTCATTTTTTTTTAATTCATATTGGTTGGTGCATTAGCACCAACCAATTGGGCTATTAAGCCCAAATTTTACTATCTATTTGATTTTTTTTTCTTTTGATAATTATAGTGGCAATAATAAATCAATAATAGCAGCGATTGTTATAGGTAATGTTTCTATGTTCTTATTATTTTAATTAATGTTAAAGGTGCTATCCCACGATCTGTGTTAACGCGGGCGAGGCCGCGCCGCGAATAGGGTTGATGACGGGGTACAGTAAACGAAATTCTATTTAGTCCGTCAGTTAGATGATCAAAAAATAATGGACACGTATTTATTCTTTGGCCAATCAACCAAAAAATGACAAAGTTATAGCGCGTCTATATAACGTTTATATTATGTGAAAAAAGAAAAAATACGTGTCCAATACTTTTTGATAATCTACCTGATAAACGAAGAAAAAAAAGTTAGTCATCATCCCTATTGTTGCCAAACGTAAGAGAACTCTAACGTTCGAGATTTAGCAGTATCTATACATAATACGAGGGAAACAGATACATATCTCGTACACTTTTATATGATATTTGAACAATGTTGACTGTTTGTGTCATGTACACAAACCAAAAATATTATCAGAAAGTAAATAAAAGTGCAGTCCATAAAGGCTCGTCTCAGTAAGTACAGATTCGTTATGCCATCATTAAATGCATCCTTATTCGTATCATCGTATCATGTATAGATACTGCACCATACATGATAACTCGTTAGAGTTCTCATACGTTTGGCAACCCGCAGGGTTGCCTTAGGGCCTTACGGCCTCGCCCGCGACAACACAGATCGTGGGACAGCGCCTTAAGTGATATGGGATAAATCTTGTGTATATCTATTATAATTGGCAAACATATCGTCAGTGGAAAAGCAAAATCGCACTTTGGTGCTGCTCAAAATAAAAATTAACAACGTGGCGTATAAGCCTTTTTGCTTTTCCACTGGCGATATATAAACAGTAAAATTATCTTTTATGTTTTGTACGTAATGCTGTGGATACCTATAAATAAAAATATAAATCCAAATTAAATAGGTTCGTTCATTCTTTTAGCCGCTCTCTCATAAGTTACACATGTCTACTAAGCCAATTCAATCAAAAATTATTTTATCACCGCGCATTTTAATAGTGAAAAAAATAAATTTGAATTATACTTTTAATTGATGTAGAAACAAAAAAATGGTATGAAACAAAAATTAACAGCACAACGAAGCAAAAATGAAGGTTTTGGATATCATGTTAAAAATAACTATTACATACTTTTGTTTGCAGTTTAAAACTTTCCATCCACTTATACTTAAAAAACCGGAACACAATATAAGAAACGAATTTTGATATAAGGAAAACATTAATTTGTCAAACTACAAATTAAAGTTGCAATCAAAAATTATTTTATGTTATAAATATTTTAAAAAAATTTAAATGTGAGCATTATGAATGGACATTATTAAACACAAACTGAAAGGAAAACTCTTCGTCTTAAAAATATGAGTACAATTTAAGCCACATTCTTGAATTCACACTATCTATATAATTTTGTAGCTGTGAGAGACATATTTACATATGAAATCTCTTGATCTAATTTTAAAGATTCCGGCTTAAAAACTGTACTTGTCTTATATTTTTCAGGCAAGAATACAATCGTCAAAATATTGTTTTTTTTTTTAACTTTTCACTTCATAATCATAACAATAATATATTTTATTTCAAAATATTGAAGCATTAAAGAATTTGGTGTGAATAGCGCTAGAACAACACATTAAAAAGCAGTGCAAAAATAAAGTGACGGTAGTTAAAGAAGAATAGAACGAGGGTAGTTTAAAAGGTATATTAAAATTAGATCCAAAGTAAGACGAGGGTAATGTGCAGTTAGTGTGAAGGAAGTTTCAGAGAAAAATAAGGGTTAGGGTGAAAGCAGATAGAAGGTAGTGAATGCTTAGTAAGATGCACTCGCCTAGTGTTGTCGGTGTCGTGAAAGAGTTGACGATAAAGTACACAATTAGTTTGAAGGTAGAGTGAAGGAAGCATAATTGTAAAATAAAGTCAAAATCCATCTATCTAATGGTAGCTTGAGGGTAGACGGAGAGAAGGTCGAGGATAAATCAAGGGTAGATCGAGGATATCTCTAGGGTAGCATGCCAACATATTCTCACCCGCCGTCGTCGGTGCCGAAGTCGTCCAGTAGATCGGTGAGCGCGTCACGGAACTCGATCATTCCCTGCGCCGGCAGCGCCACCTGCGACCGCGGCCCGCCTCGCGTGATCGTCTGCGACACGCGCAAGAATCGACCGCGGGAGTTCTCCTTCAGGTCCAGGTAGTAGCGCCGATTGTCCTACACCCGGGAGACACACAGACGGACACGTTAACCCGGGCCCCATCAATAATCATGCCCTGAAGGCGCGCCCGTCCCGAGTGATCGTCTGCGACACGCGCAAGAATCGACCGCGGGAGTTCTCCTTCAGGTCCAGGTAGTAGCGCCGATTGTCCTACACCCGGGAGACACACAGACGGACACGTTAACCCGGGCCCCATCAATAATCATGCCCTGAAGGCGCGCCCGTCCCGAGTGATCGTCTGCGACACGCGCAAGAATCGACCGCGGGAGTTCTCCTTCAGGTCCAGGTAGTAGCGCCGATTGTCCTACACCCGGGAGACACACAGACGGACACGTTAACCAGGGCCCCATCAATAATCATGCCCTGAAGGCGCGCCCGTCCCGAGTGATCGTCTGCGACACGCGCAAGAATCGACCGCGGGAGTTCTCCTTCAGGTCCAGGTAGTAGCGCCGATTGTCCTACACCCGGGAGACACACAGACGGACACGTTAACCCGGGCCCCATCAATAATCATGCCCTGAAGGCGCGCCCGCCCCGCATGAGATTCGAATATACAAAATAGATAATGAAATTTGGCCGGCTTGAGTGTGCATATGAACTGTTTACTTACAGGCAACGAATTAGAAATTATATGGAAACATTACTCTCTTATAAAGGCCGATAAAACATTGCATTATTGCATTGCAATATCCAAACTCATACAACTAAACTCCAATACTAGCGGGGCATGCACACAGACAGAAAAATACTTTGACAAATCAAAATATTTGCAATTGAATTCGGCTATCCATTTATTGGGTAAGATAATTTTAAACGGAAATCCCAGCCAATCCCATGACCTGCGTGTCGATCTAATTTTTTAGACCCACCCACTTAATCGTTCTTTCCGTGGAGCCACTTTTTAGCGCAGTTGGTATTCGATATAATTTCTAATTCATTTTCAGAAAGTATTTGTGGCCTGTTGGCTAGTTACATTACACATTAGATCGCTTTTCATTCAGCATCGTAAAGGTAACCAAGGTATCCACATGCCATCAAAAGGTATCCCAAAATGAGCGTTGTACAAAGGTACGCACGCTGTTCATAGTATAGTTCAAAGCAACATATATTTGTCTGTTTCCAGATCTATATGTTTATATAAGATAACTAACTATATGAATTAACTTTATGAGTTAAATTAAAACTGTTTATATGCTTTAGTTTTTTTCTGTGACATCAGCATTTTTTGGTCCTTCGAGCCATCTGAATAAGGCAGTTGTGGTTGTGGCTCACCTTGAGCATCATCTCTGACTTGAGCTTCCCGTCCTCGGGGACGTTGTCGGGGTTGGGCGGGCCCAGCGACGAGTAGAAGTCGCTAAAGCTGGAGAGGTGGTCGCGGAACTCCGCCGCCGTCGACATTGCTAGAAAGATCTGGCTGCGACGCCCGTCAGCGCCGATCTGCAACAATACACATTGGACCATTGGAAACATTAATCTATACCAGTGATTCCCAAAGTGGTCTATATCGACCCCTAGGGGTCTACGTCAGCGAAAAAAAATCAATATCAGGTAAGTAGGGGGTCTACCCAACACGGAAAATCATGGCAAGGGGTCTATGACACAAAAAAAGTTTGGGGAACTCTGATCTATACTATAAAGGAGTTCAATGTCGCAAGTGGTATGCGCATTCCGCTGCCATCGTTGAAGTTAAGCTACTTTCGCAGTTGTCTGTCATTGGATGGCTGACCAAAATTTTACTATCTCGAGCTTCGCCGTGCTTCAAATGGCACGTTAAGGCGTTGGTCCCGGCTGCATCTACAGTCGTTAGCAACCACCAATCCGCACTGGGCCCACGTTGTGTGTCATGGCCCAATCTCCTTATTCCATCCGTAGATAAAGCCTATGCCCCAGCAGTGTGCACATTAATTGGTTGTTGATGATGAATATTTACTAATATTATAAAGCTAAAGAGTTTGTTAATCTGTTTGTTTGTTTGGTTGTTGAAATACGCTCATCTCAGGATTGGACAGAGGGCAAAGCTATAGGCTATATCACATCGACCAGTAGGAGCGGAGCATCGATGAAAATTGTTACAACCGCGGAAAAAAAAACCTAAAAACAAAAATTATGTATGAGGCAATTGTTCCCATTTAAAGTTCTATAAAAAACTCCGCAACAGCATATGTCTCATCATCATCATCATCAGCCTATTAATGTCCCCACTGCAGGGGAACAGGCCTTCCCTATGGATGGAATAGGGAGCTTGGGCCATGACCCACCACGCGGGCCCAGTGCGGATTGGTGGGTGCTAACGACTGCAGATGCAACCGGGACCAACGGCTTAACGTGCCTTCCGAAGCACGGAGAAGCTCGAGAAAGTAAATTTTTGGTCACCCATCCTATGACCGACCAATGCGAAAGTTGCTTAACTTCAACGATCGCAGCCGAACGCGCTAACCAGTTGCGCCATCGAGCTCCTCCGCATATTTATATCTTTTATAATAATTATAAATCTTCTGAAAATTTTCTAACCTCCCATTAACCTATGAACTTGAATTTGAGTTACATGTTTATTAATTACGTGTATTTCACTTACAAATACCGAGGTGATAAATCGGATTTGGTTGTACCAACCCTAAACGTGCGAAGTCCGACACGCAATGAGCTGGCTTTATATGTTTTTCTGGTCTGGGTGTTTGGAGTACCTTAAATGTTTAAGATTTTCATAACAAATATTCAAGCAGGTACTCACTTCATCATCCACCTATTAATGTCCCCATTGCTGGGGCACAGGCCTTCCTTATGGATGAAATAGGGCGATTTGGCCATGACCCACCACGCGGACCCAGTGCGGATTGGTGGATGCTTACGAATGCAGATGCAGCCGGGACAAACGGCTTTACATGTCTTTCAGAGCTCGGAGTAGCTCGAGATAATAACTTTTTGGTCACCCATCCAGTGACCGACCATTCCGATAGTTGCTTATATTCAACGATCGCAGCCGAACGCGCTAACCACCTGCGCTATCGTGCCCCTCTCCAAATATTCAGGTAGGTAATCACATAACAAGCAATAATTATTTTGTAATCATGTACATTATATAAAAATATGATTTCATAATTGAAACCTGATGCAAAATATAGAAAGCATTATCGACGATCCCGACAAGCATTAAGGATAATTTGTACAATGAGAATCAAATTGCGAATCTGTTGAAGAAAGAGACGAGAGATATTGAAATAACGTGACCGGGGTCGTAGAGGTCACCGACCCCCGAATTACTTCAAACAAAGAGCCGCCTACCGCGCGACGCGCCGCCGAGACGATGCGATCGAAACCGACGTTGTACATCGCTGACTTCACACAGACATTATAAACGTAACTATAGTAATACCGAAATGTACGTGAGGCACAAGGGGATACATTGCAGATTAAAATAGCAACTCATTACTCGCTATTGGCTTTTAGCTGTTACAACGATCAGCTGGTTATCAACTCAATATCAGCTCTTTCTAATCTTCTTACATCATTTGAGGGTATCAATAATGCTTCAATTGATAGCGCGTCATGTTGGTACATATAAAAATAAAACCGGTTAAGTGCGAGTCGAACTCGAGCACGAAGGGTTCCGTAACATTATCTATACAATATTAGACACTATTTCATAATATCGAGCAAAAAATCACGTTTGTTGTATGGGAGAACCCTTAAATATTTATTTTGTTTTAATTTAATTATTTATTTTGTAATGTAAATAGGGATGATGACTAATTTTTTGTTCTTCGTTTATCAGGTAGATTATCAAAAAGTATTGGACCCGTATTTTTTCTTTTTTCACATAATATAAACATTGCAGAGATATATTGATTTGAAAAGTCGCATGACGTCACGTTTGAGTACACTTATAAGTGAAAATTCACTCAAAAGTGACGTCACGAGCCCCTGCTCCCAAACTTTGACGCGCTATAACTTTGTCATTTTTTGGTTGATTGCCCAAAGAAAAAATACGTGTCCATTATTTTTTGATCATCTAACTGACGGACTAAATAGAATTTCGTTTACTGTACCCCGTAATCACCCCTATTTACAAATTAAATATTATGTGAATATTTCAAGTCTCTACCTGTTGCCGTTGTTAATATAGATCAAAAGACGACAAAAAATCTAATTGGTTGCCAATTACGTGAGGCACATCATGACATGAGGGATCTCTTTTAAACATTTATTTTGTCATGTTTTTAGTGCATATTTGTTGTTACAGCGGTGACAGACAGACAGACGGACAATGCAGTCTTAGTAATTGTCGCATTTTTGTTTTTTGGGTACGGGTACCATAAAAAGGTAGTTACAAACAAGCATATATGGCCCGCCTGATGGTAAATGACCACCGTAATTTTTATACACTTGAAATTGTAGAGCATTACTCGTCCACGCGTTGACTATCATTCAGTACCCTATCATCATCATCAGCCTATTAATGTCCTCACTGCTGGGGCACAAGCCTGCCCTATGGATGGAATAGGGAGTGCGGGCCATGACCCACCACGCGGGCCTTGTGCGGATTGGAGGGTACTAACGGATGCAGATGCAGCCGGGACCAACGGCTTAACGTGCCTTCCGAAGCACGGAGGAACTCGAGATAGAAGATTATTGTAGCTAGTTTTTGGCATCAAACCTTATAATGAAGTCACAGTATAAAACCTTATAATGAAGTCACAGTATAAAACCTTATAATGAAGACACAGTAAAAAACCTTATAATGAAGTCACAGTATAAAACCTTATAATGAAGTCACAGTATAAAACCTTATAATGAAGTCACAGTATAAGTGAGGAGCTCGATGGCGCGGGTGGTTAGCGCGTTCGGCTGCGATCGTTGAAGTTAAGCAACTTTCGCAGTGGTCGGTCATTGGATGGGTGACCAACAAACTTCTATGGTAAATTCGATGTGCCGTCATATCTTACTCAAATATAGCATTCTTCCGAGAAGTCCGTCCTCAATTTCTCGCTCAGGACTCGCGACAGGATCAATACCACTGCACTAACGCAAAAACTTTAATTTGCATTTAGTAAGTTACTTAAAGAAAGAATTTAATAAAAGAAATGCTTTAACAGTAACATTTCGTGATTTAACATCATTTATTATTTAAAATATTCCACGTAGCGAGAGCGAGCGTGGTAGGAGTTTGTTGTCTCCCTCACACTCCGGTGTATAAAGCAATACGTCACTGTCGACCCCTTTTACTCTATCATTTGTCTTTCATGCCATTTCAATTATTATTCACTCTTATAAAATTTGATAAGATTGTTCTACTGCGTAATCTACATACTCAAACGAATTTATTCAGTTTATTTTAAAACAAGCAATCATGACTGTCCAGAAGCTACGCCATCGGTTCCTAAATCTACGGCAGAAGAGCTTGCACTGAGAACCGGCAAGAAACATACCAAACGCTGTTTTTTTTACTGATACTATTATTTACAGTGTCGTCAAGTTGAAAAATGACTTCAGCGATGATTCATGAAGTCACCTTTCATTACACCAACTAATCTAATAGTTATTCTAGTACACTATCCATGATGATATGTAAGCTACTCACCTCTGCGACCTTGATGAACCTGCCGCGGCGGTTTTGCTTCACGTCCAGGTAGAACCTCTTGGATTGGATCTGCAGCATCTTCGTCGCCAGCTCCTGCTCCTGTGGCTGCTGACCTGCAACACAAACGAAACGCATTATTAGCATGGCGACAACTACACGCCCCACATATAAATAACGAAGCAAGTGTTGACACTCCATTACAACAGATGGCGCTGCCGCCGCTGTACTCAAAAAATATGGAAGTCTACATCGCGCAAGAGAAATTCGGAGGCTTACATTTCATATATGCAACGCATAACCATTATCAGTATTAGTCGTGCTGCGGCGGCCCCCCAGCTAATATCAACTAGCTAGGTGAAAGATCCTCCCCTTTGGTTGGCCTTCCCACAATTAGCTTATCAATAACAAAGAGAACGGGACATAAATGCTCATAACAGTCCTAGTGTAATAAGGTCGTTATGTTTCACTGTGAACGGATTTTTCTCCAATTACCAGCCACTGCAAGAGTTGCATAACTTAACTTATACAATCTTTAAAAAAAAAGATAATTCCTCAAAAACTTTTTTAATTACTTACAATTCACATCGTGCGTTATAGTTAGACCACTCTGTATTTAAAATGCTTTCACGAGATTTGCCAAATATTCATAAGCGAAATTTTTAACATGAAAAAAAATCCGATGCTATTCAACTGTGAAAATACTTCATTTGAGCGCAAGATATTACTTGCTTTCTTAGAAAGAGGAATTTTATTGGGCCTAATTAAATACTGACTGGGTTTCATGAATGACTCAATTTACTGCAGACGTGTGTTTAACTTTTATACAACATTTATCAGTTTATTTACCATAATACTGACTGCTATTTTTATATGAAAATAATAAAATTAGTCATGACCTATGGCTATTCGAAAAAGCTGGGTTTGTTCAGAAAGTTAATCAACATAAATATAGGATTAATACTTGAAATCGATATAATTTATAGAATTCAGAAGAAAACCAACTGATACTAGTACTTCTAACACCCACAGTCAACACAATGTAAGAAGAATATTTAACATACAGTATATGGCAGTGTCAAAGTGATACACCATTGAAATATGTATTTCATTGACGAGTAGCAATTACTTTGAGAATTATCCGAATCGAGGTCCATGTCATTAACCTGTTTGGTGTTATAACTTTTATAGCCATTCATGAAACATTGTCACCACAATATGTTATATGTACAACAAACTGAATCGTTACGACTATATTAGCTTATTTTGTGAGTTAACATAGAAATTAGTCGTCTAGCTTTGGAGCAACACGATAAATTACAATAAATTCTAGTTATAAGAACTTCATCATCATCATCAACAGCCTATCCTAGTCCACTGCTGGACATAGGCGTCTGAAACCGCCGCTAGAGCCGCTTGTGTTGCGTGAGGTCTCCGAAATGTCAAATGTTATAACTTGTGGGTTGACTACGCGGTTTTTTTTTCTAATTAAAATAATAGTTGTGAATATTTGCTAATAACTCAGACTTATTATGGAAAATATGAGTTACGTGTCAATGAATGTCAGTTATTTAAAAGCGGAGCTAAGAAAAAATATTGTCCTTCTTTTTTCCGAACAAAACGGGACTGCGCAACACTGTGGCATGGGCGACTATGTTTACAAAACGATTCTTTTGTATTAAAATATGATTTAAATGTAAACTTTGATATCCCGAGCATGTTTACTAACTTTAAAAGCTACACTTCAGGACCTCACTCAACAGTGGCGCCATCTGGTGAGACAAAAAACGATAGCCCTCATTGCACGCCACTCAGATCGATCTTGGGCTACTCGCATCCAGCTCCTGCCAGCCATCTTGCGCAAATCGTCACTCCATCGTGCCTGAGGACGTCCTACACTACGTTTGCCTAGGACGCGGTCTAAGAACTTATCGACACCTATAATATGAATTTATGTAACCGCCAAAATCACTATCGATCGATTTCTGTAATTAAAATCTCGATATCTTGAAAAAAATATCGATTACGCGTTAACCAAAAACAGTCTTTTTTTCATTTTACAATCCATTTTTTAATGTATGTCACATTCTCATAAATTAATTATTATAAGGTTAACGTTGACACCAAAGTTGAAAAAAAGACATCAGTGTAAGACTCATCTGTATCAAAATCGTAAGTATCGTGAGGGTCTCACGTTAACTTATTTTGTGGCACACTGGGTCGCAAGTCCCGGGACCTGCTCAGTTTCCATGAACTACTAAGAAGTTCGTCTTCGAAGATTTGGGTTCTTTGCTTCATTTTCTTTGAAGAAAGAAAGAGAGATAAAAAGAACCCAAATTTGTCTATTTTTCATTTGATAAAACTGATTTAAGAGCATAATATACTTAGTATGCTTTCCAATTACAGAGCATAATGCGACTCAGTGCCGCACAATGCCCAATTAAGCTGATGCTTAATTGGAACGTGAATTAGTTTTCAAATGCACCAGCAGAGTGCGCTAAGTTCAGTGTTGAAAAAAAAAGTCAATGTTTGTACCTTCATCCATACTTATATTTATTTTTTAAGAGTTTGAATGAACTTTGATTATTTAAAAAAAACTATTTATTGAAACGAAAGCTTTAATAATTTTTCAACAATAAATAATATTACTAACGCTAACATATAAATAAAACATTTCGATCAATGCCAACTTAAAGAAAAAACACTTGTTAATTTTCTGTCTCTAAGTTGGTACCATTGCACGCATCACACGAAAGCATCACTTTTGAGAGTGCTCAATTGTGCGAAGCGTTGCTGTAGTTGGAACACTGAACGTTAAGCATTATGCCGCATAATGCGCAATAATGCTGTAATTGGAAAGCAACCTTAGACAGTTTTAACTTTTTAGTAACTATTTAACTGTTTTTTTCCTACTTATAAACTCGTTTGTTGATAACCCTGCCATAAATTAACAAAAACTGAAAAATTTATTATATTTTGGACTTTATTACAAATATGATTGAAAGTCCTTTATATAGTTTCTAAGTTAGGTAAGTCAAAACTTCGAAAACGGTGTGCCTTACTTTATTTTTTTTAGGTTTTTGTCTCTTACCTTAAACTGTTCTATTTGTATTTTGGTAACTCTAAATGTAGTTAATCACACTTTTTTGTGATATAATTAACGTAAACACCATGCTATTTTCTTAACTATAATGGCTGGCTTTTTAAGATCCCGTTAATCTAAAAGATCACATTAATATAAGATAATTGATGTAAACATAATTTCAAAAGGATAAGTAAGTATATATAAAATTATAACATTTTTCTAATTTTCAAATTACTTTTTTGCCTCTCCTGAAAAATGGGAAATCAGAAATCAATAGAAATCAATATATCTTTATTCAAATTGGATGTATAGTACAATTCTTTTGAATTGTCCAAATTTTTTTTCCCTACCACTCGTTAAGGACATATTTTTTAGCTGCGGAGAAAAACGAGCGAAAAAAAACTCCACAACATTAAAAGTCTAATGTAACAACATTTACAAATCATTATGTTGTGATGTATATCATTATGGACTTTTGGCGGTTATGGCAATTCATATTACAAGTGACGATAAATTTTCTCCAGTAGAAATAACCCTAATGGTAGCCATACACACTACGAGAAATCGTTACGATCAGACTGTACAGTTCGAACGGAACAGTTTATCGTACGTGGCGTACGTATAGGAAACTGTGCAGTTTTATAACATACACGCTACGATTTATCGGTACCGTTCGGACTGTACAGTCTAATCGTAACGATTTCTCGTAGTGTGTATGGCTAACATAAGGAATTGAACTTTTTTATTATGTTAAAAGTGTGGCAATCAAACATATGGTCCGCCTGATGGTAAGTGGCCCCCATTGCCTAGTCTGACCCATGTCCCTACCCTGTGGAACCCTGGAACCTTACTCAAGGGTTTACAAAAGTAGTGTTATTTTATTGTGGTCTTCTGTAAGGTGGACGTTACTTCCCCAGACGGGCGCTCCAATTTCAGCAGGAAATCCGCTATGCCCTACCTCTCCAACCGTCACAATAAATCCATCATCGATCAAATGTAGAAAACATTCCTTGGGAAAATGTTATTTGTTCAGTGTAATGTTAAATATTTAGATTATGGGAAGAAGCATCTGTTCAAAAAATCTATTTTCATTATTAATATATGTTAGAACTATGTAACATATCTAATCCTGCAGATACAATAAATCCATATTTTCTTTGGACTGTGTTTAATCTTCTGTCTCAAATTGGTGGTATTATACATAATGTATACAACATCAGACCCCAAAGTCCTCCAATAAAATTACGACTTCAATCTCGAAAATTTTCTACGCGATAAATTATTGTAATGGAATGAAGCCAAATGAGAACATCGAGAAACTGGGAAAAAACACGAATTGCTAAATGGCAAAATAGCTTTTACCTTCCAGGGCGGAAAATGCAAAGTAATTATTAATTCTAGGAATCACATTACAGGTCGCGGCACGTAACTCTAGCGCTAAACAAAACGCGGAGGGGATATCTGCGCATGGGTACGACTGGAGAGCCAATCGGCGCAACGCACGACCACCCGCGCACCTCGTTTCCCCCCGAGACATCTTAATTTTTACTTCTGCGGAATAACGGTCAGCGCTAGAGTTTCGTGCCGCGACTTATAACAAACTAGCGGCCCGCCCTCGCTTCGCTTCGGTGTAGAGCTGAAGTGTAGACTACAGTTTTTGTTCTCAGGCTTGTATTATACACAATGACATTCATCTATGATTCTTCTTATACCTGTATGCAAAGTCTCAGCCCGATCGGTTTAAAATTGACAAAGTTTCATACAAAATTGCATTGCCTATTTTATCCCCTTGGGGGTAGAATTGATCAAAATCCTTTCTTAGCGAATGCCTACGTCATAACATCTACCTGCATGCCAAATATCAGCCCGATCCGTCCAGTGGTTTGGGCTGTACGTTGATAGAACACTATGTCTGTCAGTCCTTTGAGTTTTATATATATAGATAATCGATAGAGGTACGGGGTTATAAAAAAAAGAGGAATAGAAAATACAATACAAATGTGAAAATATTACATCTTAACGGATATTATA